GGGGAGTGATGGCTTAAAGGTACTCGGTTTGCCTTGGGAGTGATGAAAATATTCTAAAATTGATTGGTGGTTGTGTAACTGCAAATATACTAAAAACCACGGAATTATACACTCTAAGTGGGTGAATTGCATGGTATGTACATTTTATCTCAGTAAGTTATAAAGAAATGGACAGCAGGTAATGCCCTTGGCAGTCCCCCCCACCCCCCAGCCCAGCTGCTCCCTGCCCCGACCCAACCTGTCTCCTGCTTCAACAGCGTTTGCACGGAGCAGACCAGGGACGCGCCTTTGTCCAGCCTCCGGCCGCCCCCCAGCGTCCTCCCCAGTTGCCACCTTTCGAACCATCTCGCCATCCTCGGCCCGAGGACCAGCCACGAGCTCCCGAATCGCTCCACTGCGGCGGAGGCCCGCCAGCCCCGGCCCCCGCATCCGCGGCCTCCGCACCTACCTCCCTCCGGGCTTGTTTCCACCGCAGCGCTGCGAGTTGGCCGAGGAGAGGCCAGGGCGCCCGGCGGCTCTCGAGGCTGCGAAACCAGTGCGGCGGCCGGGTCCTCTTCAGGAGGGGCAGAGGCCTCCCCACGATGAGTGGGTGACACTCGGGGTGTCGGGGAAGCCGCCGTGGTCCTGGAGGGGAACCTGGACCAGGCCCTGTGACTTCCCGGATAAGCAAGTGAAGCTCATCAGGAAGATGGGCGACACCTGGCTCGCCTGCGCAGGCCAAGCAGGGCGCATCTCTCCCGGGGGCGCACCTCGCAGCTGAAGGAGCCTTAGACTGAGCCCAGAGGCCCCATCGCCCTGGGGTTTGCTTTCTGCCTGAGCCTCTCCCTGAGACTCTGAGGCATCCTTTTTTTGGTTAATACTCACCTGAGGACATTTTTTCCCATTGATTTTTTTAAAGAAAGTGGAAGGGGGTGGGGGGGAAGAGAGAGAAACATCAATGTGAGAGAGACATATCGATTTGTTGCCTCCCGTTTGCACCCTGACTGGGGCCGGGGATCGAACCTGCAACCCAGGTATGTGCCCTTGACAGGGACGCGAACCCAAGACCCTTCCCTGTGCAGGCCGGCGCTCTAACCACTGAACCACACCTGCCAGGGCTACAAGGCATCCTTTTAACTACCCTGGAGCCCTCTCCCATGCTGTGGACCAAATGGAAACAATAAGGCCATTTGCAGAAAATAAACAACCACCCGCATCCAGAGACACAGACGCCAGATCTCTCTCTGCTGGGGTCTGGGAAGGTCGGGAGCTCCAAAAGCATAACCCCCTGAGCCGGTCTCATTACTCTGGGCTCCGCTTAGGCTGGGGCCAGGGGCCAGTGAGGTGAGAGGGGGTGTTGGGGTTACTTCTTCCAGAGTGTGATTGAACAGGCATTTTGGAACCCGTGGGTGGGTGAGATCACTCAAACCCAGGTGCCAAGGGAAGCGTTCCAGGGGAACAGCTCATTGAGGGCCATGCCTTTTCCTCTGAAGTCCCCACACAGCTGGAGCGGGGCACTGGAGAGGCATGGCGACCTCAAACGCCCCGAGCTCAACCCCGCCCGGGCAACCAGCTCCCCCGGGGCAGCAGGAAGCAGAGCCCCTGTGTCATAGTGCCAGGCGGGGACCACGGGATTCGCACAAACAGGACTAGAAGCCCGCGTACCCGAGATAACTCGGAAACCTCCCTGCCTGAAGATGGAGAAAACGCTCCACCTGATCCATTGAGGCAGTTGCCCTTTCGGTTTGAGGTTCCTGCGTATTAAAAATGCCCAACGAGCATGTATTTAATGCTCAGCACGTGGGTAAAACCCTCACAGTAGAGTTACCACGATCAAAAATTAAAATAACCGTGCCTGTTGCATTTGAAGTTTATCCCTTCCCAAGATTGAGAAAGAGTGGCAGAGATCTCGAAACCCGTAACAGTGAAGGACCAAGCGGAAACTCTAGAAGTAAAAACATGAACCTGGAGGTCACGGTTCGATTCCTGGTCAGGGCACATGCCCAGATTGCGGGCTCAGTCCCCAGTCGGGGGCGTGCAGGAGCCAGCCGATCAATGGCCCTCTCTCATCATTGATGTTTCTCTCTCTCCCTTCCTCTCTCTGAAATCAATAAAGACGTATTTAAAAAAAAAAAAAGATACAAAAATACAAATGCTAAGAGAAAAGGCTGGTGAATCTACTGCAGCTGGGCCACTTTGGGCGGGTTAGAGAGCAGCTAACAGGAATTACAAAGTCATTAGGTCTTAATGAAAATGAAAGTACCACACAGCAAAACCGGTGGGGTGCGCGCGGTGAGTCACCCGCAGACGGAAGTGCATCCCCCAATCGGCGTCCTAGCAAAACAAGAGAGGTTTAAAAATAAGTCACCCAAACTGTCCACGTCTGAAACCAGAAAAAACACACACAAA